TCTAAAGTACTTATCCGACAACATTCAAAGGCTAAGCCTTTTATGATCTGGCCCTGCTTACCTCGTAAGCCCCATTTCTGTGCATTATCCTTTCGCCCACTGTGCTGCTGTCAGGTTAAGCTTCATGCAGTCCCACTTTGTTGCCTGTAGTGATTTTGCACCATTTGTCTTCCTATCGCCATGGCTGGCCCCTAGTACTCATCCTCTATATAACACATCCTGAAATCTTCCTGACACCCCAGACTGTGTCAGATGCCCCCTTTACACCTTTCACGTTATTCTGAACTATGTTTTTTTTTTCTTTCCATTAGACATGAGTTTTTTGAAAGTAGGAGTGTCCAATGAGTAACTGGAGATAGAGTCATACAATTTTATAGAAAGAGTAGGCCTAGAAATACATGATTATAAAATATGAACCTAGCCCCGTGAAGCAGGGGACTGGATGCAGTCACCCAATGTAGTATTGAATGGCAAAAGGGCAACCAAGAGGATCCTGGAGAACACTGCCCATTAGATTCCTTAGATCCCTTTGTGTAAGACCAAGACCATAAAGAAGGGAGAAAAGCAATCTTTCAGTACACAAGAGACTTCAGGGCCGTGAGAAAGCTACGGATGTAAATGGAGAGCCGGGTACATGGCAAAAGACTTTACTGTGCTAAAGTAAGCTCATGCTTATAGAGAGATGCCTACGTCATAAAGGAAAGTGTTTACCTTCAGCTAATAAGATAGCAAAATAGGAGAAGCAAAATCAAGGACAATGAAGTTTGGGATGACATTTAAACTATATAGATAAAGCTTCCTATCAGGATGGATTGTTCTAGGGAACGACGTGAATATAAGAAACAGAGAAGGTTGTTCATTCAGACAAAAGAAGAAATGTGTAATTATAAAGATTCACAAAATACACAAAGGATGAACTCAGTCCTTTTACAAATCCTTTATATCAGGTGAAATTGGACTTAAAAATCACAGTGTATAAAGTGTGACTATTAAAGGACCTTTTGTTCTGCACTCCACCTCTTACCAAAGCCTTGAGATTCCTTGATTCATTAATACTACTGGGTTTATTTTTATATGGGTTAAGTCACCTGTTGTTAGAGTGTGATTCTGGGTCATTACACAGTGAATTTTAATAAATTAAACCTGCTGTCCTTTCCAAACACAACACATGGGTCAACAACTACGATTAAGTTGTCTTTATTAATAAGTGGTTATCTCTAGGATAATTACAGTTTCCTCTAAATGATTTGTATAAGGAGTAAATGTCTTTAAATAGTTTCAATGTTATTTATATACCTGCCTTTAATATATCCTGTGTGCTCAGACACCTGTGTATGTGATTACTGATGGGTGCTAACTTTAATACATAATGTGACACCCTGAGTCACTTTTTGTTCCATTACAGAGTATAGTATGTTGGTTAAGGATTAGTCTGGGTTGGAATTCTAGGCTGTGCAACTAGCTGTTATCTGGGACATGCAGTTAACATTTCCATGACTCATTCATAACCTGGAAATAATAGTAGTACCTATGCGTAAGAGTTATTCCAAAAATTTAATGAGCTAATATATTTATAAAGGGTCACAGAAATAAAAGTCTTTCATAAAGTTCTTAGAACAGGATCTAATACAGGATAAGCACATTGTTGAGCTACTATGAGCCCAACCCTTCTAGTCCTTCCTTTCACATTGAGTAACCCTGCCCGCTTTCTATGTTGTAATGTGTTATTTCCTTAAGAAGATAATTGAGTAGTCAGAAGGAAGATAAAATAGAAAACAAAAAACGCAAGAACAAAAAAGGAGAGTAGAAACTATAATATATAATTTATACACTTTAATTCTACAATACTCGTACTTATCATTTGCTTTACACTCTGATAAACATAGTCTTGAAACTTGAATATCCTTTATTTTAAGATCTGAATTTCTATTGCTGATGGAGATAAATGATCTTTTTTAGCTCATCCTTTGGCAGGCATGTCAAAGTTGTTTAAGGAAAAATGGGAAAAGTCTATTTGATAAGTTCTGAGAAAGTACCCATTTGTAACGACATAAGATCTTCATTGCAGCCTGGGTCACATCCTTTGAAACTTTTGGAAATAACTTTTCCTCAAGAATTGATGATGGAGAAGCTTTGTAATAAGCCTGAATCTGACTTCTCTTTGAGAACCCATTTTCCAGGACTCCCTCCTGCCTGGGAGCTGTTTTCTCCCTTCAATAAACTCTGCTTTGCTGTCCCCTCTTTGTGTCCACATCTCTAATTCTTTGTGAGCATGAGACAAAGAATCCATCCAGTTTGCTGCTATCCCTGCATTGGGTATTGGGCCCATGCACCCCCACTTGCCACATCAGGATGACCCCCTTAATTTCTAGTTAAATAATTAGATTATGTGTTTAGTCTAGAGATAAAAGCAACGGTTTAATGAAAAACTGGTTTTGATGATGGGGTACATGACGGGGCTATGGGACAGCCAGATTCAGGTGTTCAGTGATTCTAGAAAGAAAATTCTGAAAAATTCCAGGATTAAGACAGACATTCAGAACATGGGCCTATAAGTAGTGCTTAAAACCAGATGAAAAAAGCAAAGTAAGCAGAAGAAATCTGAGCTCATAAAACTCAAAATTTCATATATAAAAACAAAATCCAAACAGATGATAGGGAGTGACTTAAAAAGGAAGAAGGATTGGGGACGCAAGCTAAGAGTCACTTAAAGTAACCAAACGCTTGTTACTGTAGCACATCCTCTAGAAAGATCACAAAGGAAGTTTGTAAAGAAGCGATTATCAGGGGCCAGTGGTGCAGCAGTAAATCAAAACACTGTTGAGGCTGATCCATGTGAGAAGTTTCCAGGCTTGAGCATACAACAGGCATGGCTGGCTGAAGCTAGGAGTGACTGTGATGTCTAGGACCTATTGGGGATGCTGTTCTCTCTCTCTCTCCTCCTTCTTCTCTCCCTCCTCCTACTTTCTCTTTCACTCGCCGAAGCAATAAATAAAAGGAAACTATACAAAAAAGACAGAGGGAGAGAGAAAATGATGTTACCAAACTCAAACCAAGTTTACCAAGTTCACAACCAGACTGTTACCTCAGACAGTGAGAGAGGAAAGAATGGCTTTAGTGCCTCCTATGAAGGAAGGAGAGTAGGAAGCTGACACTGAAAGAACCTGTCTCTCTCAAGGAGTCCAAAGTATACATTATTTTTTTTAAGAGAGATTTTTGCCTTAGGACTCGTGTGCTCACCTGACAGACATCTACAGAGAGACAGAAAGCAAGAAAGGGTGTTGGCCACGCTGCAATCCCTTCTCCAATTCTCTTCTTGGGATTTTGGCACAGGTGCACATGCACACAGTTTGAGATTAAGCTGCCAGGTCTGGGAGTTGAACAGTGGTCAGCTACATGGGTGTCTAGTAAAGTAACCATTAAGCCATCTGGTGGTCCCTTTTTTTATTTAGTATTTTTTTTTATAGGATGTGTACACTCACCAGAGAGAGAGAGAGAGAGAGAGAGAGAGAGAGAGAGAGAGAGAAATTACCCCACAGGAAGGAAGGCCATGCTTCAATCCCTTCTCTTCTACTCTCCTCTTGGGATTTTGGGCATGCAAGCGCATGATCCTGGCATGATCCTCAAGCCTGAAGTATAGTACTTAAACTATTCACCTGACCATGTGGGATTCAGTAGGCATAAGTCTACCGCACTTGCTGGCCCTCAAATATGCATTTTTTTTTGAGAGGTTTTCGCTATAGGGCGCACGTGCTCTCCAGACAGACAGAGACATAGAGACAGAAAGCGAGAAATCACCCCCCAGGGGGATGATCATGCCACAATCCCTTCTCCTCCATTCTCCTCTCGGGATCTTGGGCACGCAGGCACATGCGCTTGGCGTTAGTTTTAAGCCACCAGGTCCGGGACGCGAACCACGGTCGACTACGTGGGAGTCCAGTGAAATAGTCATTACACTAACTGCTGGTTCCCTCAAATATGCATTTTTAAGAGTAAAATTAAGAGTAGACTGAGGCACATGGTCAGCTCCACGACTGGTTCAAGAGGGCATGACCATCTTATGAGCTTTCCTGACTACTGGGTTTCATAGCCTGTAAAACATCGTACAGATTTGAGTTTAAATTCACACTTTTTTTTTTTCCAAGTGGGGGTGTTACAAGGGTTTTGGGAGTACTACAGACCTGTCCATTAAAATAACAGACAACTTGACATCAGGAATTTGGAGAGCATTGTGGAGAAAATGAGTGATGGACCACAGGTTAATCTATGACTATTTGAAAGTCACTTTGTTTACTGTGAACTAGAATATGCCTTCAAATGGTTAATGATTAATCTATGACTATTTGAAAGTCACTTTGTTACTGTAGCCATGGGATAGACAAAACCAAATCCTGGAGGCTCAAACCCTGCTCAGGTTATTAAAATTGAAATGGACCACACATCCCAAGCAGTTAAAGATGTTTTACTTGTAGCTGCAGCTCCTGTAAATTTGCAGTTTAAGAAACGGTCACTTCTTCACTCAACAGAAAGGGGAATCTGAGAGCCAGGTCCTTTTCCAGGATCCCTGCTTTGTTTCGCAGGAGCCAATAAAATCCAAATTTAAAATATAGTTTCACTCCATTGATGGAAGTTGTATTCAGATGTAAATTGGAGAGTAAGAATAAAGACAAGGTGTTTTAAGAGAAAAGAAGTGAACTCAATGAAGGTGCCCTGCCAGTGGTAAGGGTACTACAGGGTACTGCGTAAGTGTAGACTGTCAAACAGAATGTTCTCGTCTTAGGGTAACCTTAAGTGGCTTAGGGACACTCAGCCCCTGCATACAGTAGTTTGTAGCACACTCCATAAGACATCTTTCTTTTAACTTCATGTATGTCTTTGAGGGCAATGAATAAACTACAGAAAAATAACCAGAGCTTTAATCTTCCAGATTGGCATTCACTTTTGAGTCCTCCATCAGGCTTTCTCCATGGTATACAAGTCATTTGGAGTCAGACCACCGGGCTCTGGGATTTAAAACCTCTGGCATCACTCTCCACAAATTAAAAGTCCCATGAAAAGTTTCTGGCTTCTTTTGTTTCCAACATAGGCTCAGACTTAATGAGGACTGCACTCCTTGTTTCAATTCTAAAGTTTGTTTTTTTTTTGTTGAAAACAAAGGAACAGAAAACAAGCAATTCTAAGTGCTGACAAGTCCCTGGAGGCAGGCAGTTCTCTTGTTCTATAAAAGCTCTTGGTAGGCCTTTGTGGAATTATCAAGGTTCATTCCATAGACAAATAAAAGCACGGTTTTGTAGTGACAGACAATTCCATTCACCTTTAAAGAAAAAAAATCAAGAAAACAAGAATAACTTAAAAGTCTAAATGTTTGGTTTTAGGCAATATTTTACTTGACATTCCCCTCCAATCAATCTTGAAAACCTATTTTAAATTTTAAAGACTGGTTCAGCAATGGTGGTGCAGGGGGTGAAATTTTCATCTGAAAAAATAGTTTAATTATGGAAAATATGGTCTTAGAATGCTGGAATTTCTGTGCCTGTGATTTAAACTTAGAAAACAAATGTATTGAGATTACCTGCTTTAATGATTTGCATAATCCTGTATGGGCCCTACATAAATTGATTTCTTATCAAATGTCATTTTCATATTAAGAAAGAATAGGAGGACCAGCAGATGGTGTAATGGTTATGTTGCTGGACTCCCATGTAGTTGACCGTGGATCAAGTCCCAGACTGGAAGGCTTGAAACTCATGCCAAGAGCATGTGCTCCCAAAATGAAAATGAAGACGGGATTGTGGCATGGTCAACCCCCTTGAAGGGTGATTTTTCACTTTCTGTCTCTTAGTCTCTGTCTCTCTGGCGAGTGCACTGTCCTATAAAAAAATTATCTCCTAAAAAAAAAAAAATGAAAAATGAGTTTGTGAAACTTAGAGAAAAACACACACTCCTAAATCAAATTTACATAGGCATTCTAGACCCAGTATGACCAGTACATTGCCAATACTTCCCTGAAGTTTCCAGAGACAACTATTATTCCCAACCCTACCTTTGTCAGACGGTGTCCCAGTTCCATGGAGGATAGAGCATGATGCCTGAGTGGGCAGGGATACTCATTCCAAGGACCAGAAATGAAGTTCATGCTACTTGTCACTTTATAAGGGACAGGAGTTCTTAAATGAGGAAAGAAATTTATTCAGTGAGGTCAACACCAGGAAGAGAATGTTACAGGTAGTCAGAGATGGGCACGAAGTTCCCAGACTTTAATAGAAAGGGGATCGGACACACCAGTCATGGTTGTCAGGGGTTGCAGCCAGACCCCTGGCACCAATTGGGGAAAGATTATCTGACTTCACTGCTTCAACTGTCGGTAGTACATTGCTGGATAAAATCCAGCAGCCATTTCTGTGAATCATCAAGATGCAAAGTAAAGGGAGAAACGGAATTTATTTAGCTGTGTTGGGGCCCACAGCTCCCATAACCTGGAGCCCTGGAGCTTGTTAGCTCACAACCAAGTCCCAGAACAGAAATTTCCAGCCTGTTATATACATCACATTTCTCATTTATCCATTGTTATCCATTGTTATCTAAAGCATAAGTTCAGCTAGTTCAGTGTTACTCTTACCCTTATGGTTTTCCCCAAATTATTCTGTTTACCTTTTCCTTGCACATGACTTTTATGACCCTGTTTTTGTTCTTATAGTAATATTGAATCTGTTGATTCAGACTTGTGACATACATTGATAGATAAAGAGGATCTACAATATAATTTTTTTTATGCTCTGCGGTTTTTGTTTTAAGAGACTTTTTGCTATTGGACATGAGTGCTCACCAGAGAGACAGAAAGAGACAGAGAGACAGAAAGGAAGAAATAACCCTCTAGGTGACAATGGCCATGCCACAATCCCATCTCTTCTACTCTCCTCTCACAATCTTGGACCTGCATGCACATACACCTTGCGTGAGTTTTGAGGCATCAGGTTTGAGACTTAAACCATGATGGGAGTCCAGCAACATAACCATTATGCCATCTGCTGGTCCCCTTAAACTATACAGTTTAAAAAAAAAAAACAATTTAAACTTCTGTAATTATTATGGTAAATAATAACATTATTACAGTTTTCCCAGTTTGACCCATTACATTGTGTCTCTTGAGTAAACATTCCCATCTCTTAAGATCTCTTGCTATAGATCCCTAGTCCAGTTACAAGGTTACAGGTTTTGTGACTATTGTCCAAAACAACTTAAGTTTCTTCTAAGTAAACAGGTTTATTTATGACCTTATTTGTTACAATAGTTACAGATTATATTAGTTACAGAAGCTACAAAGATCAGCTAACCCTTAAAGTATAAGACAGAGGAATAAAGCAAAAAAATAAACAAGGTTGAAAAACTGTTTTTTCCTGTTGTAATTAGAGGACCTGGAAAATGTAATTTCCTTCCCCTCCCATAGCGAGGCATGCACACATAGACACTCTCCCAGTTGCTTGACTAATTTTTAAGCTTACCCTGGGAGGTGCCAGACAGATCTGACAAAATCACCCCTACGCATATGCTTGTACCTTCAAAGTCTACACTGGGCATGCATATGAATTCCCCTTACAAGGCACTTGAGTTCCCCATGTGAGCGTAGGCTCCATACGTTGAGACCTCCTCACCCTTCCCTTTTCACCCTATCTAAGACCCGCCTGCTAATGCAGCTGGGCCTCCTGAACATCTCATGACCATCCCCTTACCCCATGGAATTGTTTCACAGCTGGATCCATTCTGTAGACATAACCTCTCTCCTGTGTCAACATTCCCAGAGCAGAGGCACTACATTCATGTATAAGCATCGTCACCTCTGCTAATCGATACCTTGACCATGATCACCCTCAGACAATGTATGTAGAAAACAGATCCTTGCCTTGGAGACTGGGAGTCCGTGTGAATCACATAGATGATATATATACTCTGATCTGTAACGTATAATGTGAGCTTTTATACATGATGTTTTGGTCCATTCTCTGCCCGGCTCTCAGTGGACCCTCCCTAGTTAGTAAACCCTTGTCTTCCCTTACTGGAATTCCAGGCATGTTCTTTGGGAATGGTAAACATTATGGGCAAGCGCACTCAGATTTGGGGCTCCCCACTTTCACATTACCAATTAGCACGCAGGCACCACAGAAGCCCATGTAAACAAGAGAGCCAGTCTCAACGATAGGGTTTCCCTCCTAAGTATTCATGACAAGACCTCACAATAAGGGTAAACCTAATCCCATTCTTGGTGTAGCTGCCACCTGGTGACTTGCCTGCTTGGATGGCTCCCAAGTGTACTGATTAAAACTTTCCTTTTTCATACTTGCAACTGTGGCTTTATTTGTGTCTCAGAAAGGGTTTCTAAAGTTAAGAGATCTGAGTCCAAGAACTGAGTCCCATCACAATGCTTCCTCTCTGATGACAACAACCTACTAGAGTCTGCAATCATTTCTGCCATACTGGACTTAATACAAAACTTAGGTAGGGGAAGAGGTCAATGTGAAGTACAGCTGGAAATAAAAAACAAGTTATCATTGCCTTAGGGAAAAATGTGTCCTGATAATTGTCTTTGGCAGGTTGCAAGGAGACCTGATAGTGTCAGTGGATAATCATTGTTTGAAGACAGCTTCCTTTCCAGGCATGCAGGATAGAATGACTAATTTCAGTTTTCAGCAAGGGGCTTAGATCCTCTTAAATACGTCTATTTATTTTGAACTTTTGTGAATTAAAGTTCACTTTTTTCTTATTTAAATACCTATGGGCAGAGAAATGCACAGTGGCATGTATCCAGTATTAGAATATCATACAGAATTCTGTCACATCTTTAAAAAAATCCTATGGGTTGCACTAATTCATTCTTTTCTTATACTCCCTAAAGCCAGGCAATCACTGATTTTGTAACTGCATTATAGTTTTGCCATTTCCAGAATGTCATGTAAATGGAATTGTAACAGTCTTTTCATCCTGGATACTTTACTTAATAATATGCATTTAAGAATTGTTCATGCTTTTTTTAAGGCTTGATGACACATTTATTTTTATCATGGAATATTTCATTGAATGGACATACCACAATATTTTTATCCATTCATGTGTTATACAGCTTATAGGCTGTTTCCAGTTTGGAAACTTTATAAGTAAATTGATATAAACATTTGCATGTTGTTGGTTTTTGGTGTGGACATGTTTTTAAGCTCATTGATATACGCTTAATATTAGAATTGCTGGATCTTCTGGGTAGACTATGGGTAGCTTTGTAAAACATTGCCAATCTGTTTTCCAAAAAGGCTTTCCTACATTTTTATCCCCATTAGCAATCAGAATTCCTGTTGCTTTGCACCCTTGCCAACAATTGTGTTGCTAACAGAAATGAGAGATTTATTAATGGTTTGTAGGACTAGGACCTAGCCGCCAACTTCTGGCTAGATTACAAAGCAGCAGAAGGCAGGATCTTGAACAGATTGATTATTTGTAAGTTTCTGCTTGTTCTCATCTCTTTCCCCTCTTATAAAATACCAGAACTTATTCATAGATGCTCCAGCCTAAATGACCTTATTACACCCAAAAGTCCTACCTGGGACACCTTAAATGGATTAAGTTTTCACTCAATGTCTTTATAATACAAACAGATCTCAACATTGCTATTTCCAGAGGACTGCCAAACTGTTGCGCTAACAGTAGATTTGTTTTTTTGTTTGTTTATTTTTAGTCATTCTAATTGGTATATATGGGGATCTTGTTTTTTGTTTAATTTTTTGAATTTGATGATGAGAAATTATAGTGTGTATCTTTTCATATACCATTTGAAGATCTTTTCTAGTAAGGTATCTGCCAGATGCTTTACCCACTGTTTAATTGACTTGTTTCTTTTCTTGTGATTTTAAGAGTCATATGTGTATTTTATATGTAAGTCCAAAGCTTCTTTTTTTCATTCTTTTAATAGTGACTACAGTGACGTCTGCAAAACGAAGTTTATAATTTTTTATTTTTAGATATTTCTCATAGGGCATGTGCCCTCACCAGAGAGAGCGAGAGACAGAAAGAGGGAAAGTGAAAACTCACCCATCAGGCAAGATGGCCATGCTTTAATTCCTTTTCATCCATTCACTTCTCAGAATTTTGGGCATGCACATACATGTGCCCAGTGTGATTTCAAGCTGCCTGGTTCAGCTATGTGAGAATCCAATGCCTTAACCACTATGCCAACAGCTGGGCCCAGATGTTTATAATTTTAATAAAGTCTAACTTATCAATTTTTTCACAGTAATGCTTTCAGTGTTGTATTTAAAAATCATAGAATCCAATTGCATGTGCATTTGATCATGTTTTCCTCTATAAACTTTTTAGGTTTCCACTTTAAATTTATAATCATTATCCATTTCAGGTTAAATTTTAAGAAAAGTGTGAGGTTTCAGACTAGGTGTCTTTGTCCATCCATCTGTCTTACCTTTCTTTCTTCTTCTTTTCTTTTTCTTGTTTTCTCTTATTTATTTATCAAATTTTAAGAGAGATTTTTTGCTATAGATTTCATGCACTCACCAGAGAAGACAGAGAAAGAAAGCAAGAAATCACACTCCGAGGAGATGACCATGCAATCTCTTCTTCTCCATTCCCCTCTTGGGATTCTGGGCATGCACACACACGTTCAGTATGTTTTAAGCTGCCGTCCGAGACTCGAACTGTGGTCAACCACGTAGGAATCCAGCAACCTAACCATTATGCCATCTGCTGGTCCCCCTCTTTTTTATTTTTATAAGGATATATAGCTGTATAATAGTTCAAACACTCTTGTTACAAAAGCTATTTCTTAATGGAATTGTTTTTATTTATTTCATAGATTGGCTAATTATCTGTTCAGGTCTATTTCTGGACTTTCTATTTTGTTTTATCCATATACCTATCCTTTTACAATACTACAGTGCTTTGATTATCATTTATGTATGGTATGGCTTTCTCAATCTGGTACTGTGAGTCCTACTGTGTTGAATATTTCAGGCAAAAGACAAAACTTTCATGTATACTTTGAAATCAGTTTGCTGATACTTACAAAATAGTTTGAAGATTTTGATTATGATTTTGTTTATTTGTAGATCCATTTGGGAAGAGCTGACATCCTAACAATATTATGTCTTTCAACCTATGAGCATGGAACGTC